AACCACACAACATTGAAACAAGCACACACTGAAACATACAACTGGCACACGAAACACGTAAGTATTTGAAACGCACAACAACACACAAACAAAACAAGAACGAGATAAAAACAATCAAGTTGCAACAACAAACCAAGAATTGCACGCACTAAACTGCAAGTACGCAAACCCACCAAAATCACAACTCACACTCCAAACATACACAAAAAACATACACACTAAAAACATACACAGTACAAACTTATACACTCCAAACATACACACTCCAAACATACACACTCCAAACATACACACTACAAACATACACACCACAAACATACACACCACAACATGTATTGTTAATAATTAAAAAACCAACCGCAGCACTCAAACAACGAACTACCACACCACAAAACACGACAACAACCACAAAAAAACAGATATACAAGGTCTAAGATATACAAGATACACAACAACAACAACAAAACAAACAGATATACAAGGTCTAAGATATACAAGATACACAACAACAACAACAAAATGCCACAACAACACACATACACACCGAAACACACCCCAAACACGCCGCGGTTTGTCTTGCGAAACAAAGTATCATGCCTGGATATGGGTAATTACGGATCATTAATCAATGACTCCTCCACCTATCACTATATGTGTGTGTGTGTGTGTGTGCGTGGTGTGCATGTATGTATCTTTGTATACGTATATGTGTGTATGTGTGTGTGTATGTATGTATCTTTGTATACGTGTTTGTGTCTGGGGTGTGTGTGTGTGCGTGTGTATGTATGTATCTTTGTATACGTGTGTGTGTGTGTGCCTGTGTATGTATGTACCTTTGTATACTTGTGTTTGTTTTTGTGTGTGTGTGTGCGTGTGTGTGTTTGTTATTATGGGATTACATGTACTAAATGGATCTGCCTGCTTCTATGTGGTATACAATTTTAAAGTTGTTTAATAGCTGCTGATGTTTTTGTTTAAATTGTTTAATGTTTGTATGTCCATACATCGTTTGGAATTGTACAATGTCAAGTTAAGTCTTGCTATAGTAATCCAATTAATTCAAACTAATTAATAACCAATTAATTCTAACTAATTAATATATTATAACATTTTATAAGTCTTTATTTAATGAATACAATTTATTTGACGACGACTATGATGATGATGTGAACGAACTACTAATAATGGTGATGGTATTAGATACAAAGATACAAAAGGTCTAAGGTCCGTTTGATACCTCTTTCGTTCTCTCTCTCTCTCTCTCTCTCTCTCTCTCTCTCTCTGTTTTATTCTAACTCTCTCTTTGTCTCTCTCTCTCTCTCTTTACTTCTTCACTTTTTTTTCGTATTCTCTCATCAATATATCAAATATCTGGATATCATTCTTTTTATTTTTTTCTTTCTGTCTTTCTCTCTCTCTCTTTCTCTTTTTCACTTTCTGTCTTTATATATATATATATATATATATATATATATATATGTTTGTAATAGAAATATAATTGATTGACATCTTATTGTAGAATACTAATTGAGCTCCATGGGTGAGAAATAACATATCGGATCATGTATGACATATTCCTTGTCATGATTATTATGATGATTTTGGTGGTGATGATGATAATGGTGGTGATGATGATGACGATGATGATGGTGATGGTAGTGATGATGATGATCATGGTGACGATGATGATATTGGTATTTATGAAGTTGATGATTTTATTGAGGATTTTAATGATAATAAATGCATTATATAAAAATGTTTAATATGAGACTAACAAAATGAAGAATATTATTACATAAGCAAATAACAATGATTAAATTCTGAAAGATTTGGCATAAAATTGTCTTTTTATTCTAAAAGTGTTAGATGGAACCTTCTTCTGTTTTTGTTAGATCACTTAGAAGCAGACTTAGAAATCTGGGAACTAGACACAAAAATCCATTTTAACGTGCTTCAAATTTGATGATTCTAGTGATCATTTGTTAGACAGGCAATCCTCTACGTGTTGTACGTTGCATGTAACTGAAGAATTTGAGTGAAGCGTTGTTATGGATGAAATGAATACTTTTGTACCTTTTAAAAACAGCGGTTTTCGGTCTTCTTCTCTCTCTTTCCTTCTTTTTCTCTCATTCTCTCTCTCTCTCTTTCTCTTTCTTTTTTTTTTCTCTCTCTCTCTCTCGGTCTTTTTAATTATTTATATTATAGATATTTTTCTTGCCTAGTTTTGACCACTATTTAAAAGATACAAAAGTTTCGTTATTGTCGGCTATACTTACCAGGAATGAGTATCGATAATGGAGTCGGATTTTACATTTTAGAATCGGTATTAGTATCGATATATGATACTAAGTGTCGATATAGTATCGACACTTAGTATCATATATTTAACTATACAAAATTGCATAGTTAAATATATGAAGTGTATTGCTAGCAAACCTGGCGAGAGTTATGAATGCCTAGCATAAATCAATGAATGAAAGAATTTAACTAGATTAAAAATATATAGTTTAAATATGTATATATAATAATATATTTAAAATATATAGATTAAATATTTTTAGATAATAATATATTTAAAATGTATAGTTTAAATATATATTTATGTAATAATAATATTTTTAAAATACATTGTTTAGATAAATGTTTTTCAAACATGACAGCATTAAGTCACGAAAGTTAAATACGTTTCATTGTATGGCGTTTAAATGTCATGCCTTGTTTGTTAGTAGCATGTCACACACACACACCACACATGCATACACACGCCCGTAGAAAACTAGGCACGAAAAATATCTATAATATAAATTATTAAAAAAACGGAGAGTGAGAGAGAGAGAGAGAGAAAGAGAGGGAGGGAGGAGAGAGGACGTTTAGATGTCTCTCATCAGTTAATTCTACTTATTTTTATCGCTTCTGACCTTTCGGCCTATAAATTGCTTGTGTTTGCTGTTGTTGGTTTTTGTTGGTGTGGTGTTTATCGTGTTGTTGTTGTCGTTGTCGGTGTGGTGTTGTTGCTGTTGTGTTGTTACACAATTTTTAGATAATGAAACCACGTAACCGTTTCGACTTCAATTAAATCTCACTCTTGTTTTTGTTGGTTGATGCAAAATTTTGTTAATTTCAATTGTAGACAATGAAACTTTTGCTAGTAATGTTGCAGTTTCTGCTATATAATTGACACTGCTGTCAATCCAGATACAATTGTGTTTGTTTGTTTGTGTTTATGTATGTGTGGATGTGTTTGTATGCATGTCTTTGTGTACAAGTGTGTTGTATGTGTGTGAGTGTGTGTGTGTGCGTGCGTGTGTTATTAGACACATTTCGTTTCAAGCAAATTGACACCCAATA